TGTGCGTGTTTGACAGACGATACATTTTGAGATGTTTATCAATCGAATAAAAATAATGCTTTCAGCATAGAGATTTCTGATGTGTAGCAAACTAACCGCAACAGAAACAGCTCCTCTTTCCTGTTTGTTCCTTTGTTTCCTCACATTGAAGGCTTGCCTAATGTCTAAACATCTAATAGAGAACAGATATCTTGGAATTTCTGTGCTCAACTTCCTCCACACATAGCTTCTGTTTTCTCAACAAACGTTTTTGCATAGTATGATGACTTTGTATGATAAAGCACATACGTGTTTCTGAGAACCTGGGATTCACTGTAATTGTCAAACTCCTACCGTCAGACATCGCAGTAAACGAAACCCTACTGTTCATAATAGTACCATTATGGATGCAAGATTTGTTTAGTTTATGAACGCTCCGTGATCTGCCTGCTGCCAAAGGGCAACCAAAGGGCATTTAATTGCTTCAGAAGGCTATAGGAAAACCAATTAAGGCCCTTGAATTGACCTCAAACTACACCCTGTGTTACAAAGCATATGTCCTGCATTGACCTCCCACTCCCAAATATACCAATTAAAACCACGTTTGATGGCTTCATGTTTTGTTTGTTTGTATTCTCACTGTTCAGTTGTTAAAATGACTTCGAGCAAAAAACTGTTTTGTTGTCATCTCCTTTAAAGTGTGTCATATCCGTTTACCTGGCAGGCTAGTATCCATATGGTCTGTCGTTACCTTTGACTTCACAGATGGCCCCTGTTGTTTTTTCGTTTGTTAATTTTATAACGTATTGTTGCTCAAACTTACACGGTCACTCTGCTCATTATACATTGGGGGGTGCATTTATATGGATACACCTTGATTAAATGGAAATAGTTGGTGATTTAACGTCCTGTTTGTGGCACATTAGTAGATGTGAGGAGGCAAACTTTTCAAGATGGGTGGTGACCATTTTGAAGTCTTGGATCCAACTTTTGTTCCTTCAATAGGAAGAGGGTCATTTGACACATCAAACTTATTGGGCATTTTACAGGAAAAACAATGGTGTGCTTGGTTTTAACGTAACTTTATTCTTTCATTAGTTATTTACAACTTTCTGACCACTTATAAAATGTGTTCAATGTGCTGCACATTGTGTTGGATTGTCAATGCAAGCCTCTTCTCCCACTCTTTACACACTGATAGCAACACCGCAGGAGAAGTGCCAGCACAGGCTTCCAGTATCCGTAGTTTCACACCATAGACAACTGCCTTCAGATGACCCCAAAGATAAAAGTCTAAGGGGATCAGATCGGGAGACGTTCAACTGGCCGACGATGACCAATCCACTTTTCAGGAAACTGTTCATCTAGGAATGCTCGGACCTGACACCTATAATGTGGTGGTGCACCATCTTGCTGGAAAAAGTCAGAGAACGTGCCAGCTTCAGCACATAAAGAGGGAAACACATCATCATGTAGCAATTTCAAATATCCAGTGGCCCTGAGGTTTCCATTGATAAAGAATGACCCCACTGTCTTTGCTGTCGATAGTGTGAAGATACAAGATGTGCAGCACCTAAATCTGTGGATTCTGGAAGCCTGTGCTGTAGTGATGCGCGGATGGTTGTTATATCCGTGGGTGCTGCGAATAATCTGTGGGTCGGGCGGGTCGGGTAATAAAAAAATACATTATGATTAATTGCGGGTTGGTGGATGTAGCGGGACATGGCAGTCGACTAGCGTAAAAGGCAGAGAGTGGGCTTTGCAGAATGGGAAATAGAGATGTCCAAAATAATGACTGAAGTGCAAGAGTAGCCTACTGTTCAGTTTCAGTTAGAGGAGTCATCAGAGGAAAATCTGCTATTGTTCTGGGAGAAACAAGATCACAAATTTCCACAACTGCAGCACCTTGCAAGGAAAATCTTGGTAATTCCTACAAGCGGTGCGAGCGAATGCTCAATGCTCAGGTGCTCGCGTTTTGGAGGCAAGGCGGAATCGCCTGAATCCAGGCACAGTAGATGCTATTCTGTTTTTGCACAGTGTGAAGAAAAAGGCCAAGTAAACAAAACATAGCTGCCGTTTAGGCTGAAGTGGTATCCTTTTTGTTATCTTGTTCCTGTATCTGTAAAAGCTAAAACGTCCTATTTTTACTTCTGTATTTGAAAATGAAGATGTTGTCCAAAGACAAACTTTTATTTGTGTGAACAAATGTTTATTTAAAAACGTTTAGGATTAACGTATTATTTGACTATAAGAGATGCGCAGATTAAAGCTCACTGAATCTGCTGTTAATATCCACGGTGCGTCCATAGAGGCGACCCAGACGGCCAACTATCATGCCTAAAACAAAGAATCAAATTATTAAAGTGATAATCGGGGGCGAATACATATATCGGATAAAACTATATGTGCAGACGGGTGGCGGGTGGGTGATTAGTATGTAGCTGCGGATTCGAGTGTCATTTCAGCTGATCCACGCATCTCTACTGTGCTTGCATTTCTCCTGCGGTGTTGCTATCAGCGTGTGTAGAGTGGGATTGCATTAACAACCTAACACGGGTATCAAACTCAATTCCTGGAGGGCCGAAGCCCTGCACAGTTTAGTTCCAACCCTGTTCCAACACACTTACCTGTAGGTTTCAAACAAGCCTGAAGGACTCAATTAGTTTGATCATATGTGTTTAATTAGGGTTGGAACTAAACTGTGCAGAGCTGCGGCCCTTTTGGAACTGAGTTTGACACCTGTGACCTAACACAATGGGCAGCACATTGAACACATTTTATAAGTGGTCAGAAACTTGTAAATAACTCATGAAGGAATCAAGTTACGTTAAAACCAAGCACACCATTGTTTTTCTTGTGGAATTCCAAATGAGTTTAATGTGTCAAATGACCCTCTTCCTATTGAAAAAAACAAAAGTTGGATTCAAGATGGCCGACTTCAAAATGGTCACCACCCATCTTGAAAAGTTTGCCCCCTCAAATATACTAATGTGCCAAAAACAGGGTTAATATCATCAACCATTCCCATTTTATTAAGGCATATCCATATAAATGGCCCACTCTGTACACATATTTACTGAACAAATTTTCAAATCTGGTGGCAGGCAGCTTTGCATAAATTCTCCTCAACTGCATTAAATCTAAAACTAGCCCAGAGAGGGACACTTTCAAAGTTAACTTTCATCTCATATGACATTTGACACAAGTACCACAAACCACCATATTCATACGGTTTCATGTTGACACAGAAATTCACATCATTTGTTGACCTTCATTTTCAGATTTCAAAGACAGTTTGCATGATGTTCTGTGTTCTGTTTCTGTTTTGAATCTTTTATTTGGGTAAACATCTTCCTACTGTGTCCACTTTTTGACATTTCATTCATGTGATTCAGGTTTATTATTTCCGAAAATTCGATTTTTCTTTTACATTACGGCTTTTTCTTTGATGTCCTCATTCTTCCATTTCCAGGATTATAGATGATCCTCTTGTTTCGTCTCATCTTGTGCCGCATGGAATTTTGGTGGTGGGAAAAAAAAAAAAATTATTATTTTCCATTTTTTTGTTCTTTTGTGCCTTTTAGGCTAAAAAACTAAACGTCACCACATTCTATAAACCAGGAAATAAAAGGCAACAAAGTCATTTCTTGCCATCATCTTTTTTGATTTGTTATTTTTGCCCCATTCTGTCTCAAGAAAGTTGTGTGTGAAAGAATGACCCCTTCCCCAACCCTCCCATCCCTGATCTTACCTTTGTTTCTGTGCCTTTCTGCCTAAACAGAACTGTTTGTGCAGATGGCATGAAAATACTTTTATTGCCACAAAGTATATCTGTTTTTCTATTCTATTTGTTGCTACTGATCAGTCGCATTTGTGGCATGTATTGATTGCAAACTAACTAGTTCTCAGTGGGAGATCGCCATCATGACTATTGCATGGATGTTAATGGCTCCATCCTGTGTGCTTCTCTACCCATGAGTTTGCTGAGGGGCTGACTGTGTGCTGTCATGCATATCATCTGTTTATGTGCTGATGTCTTTGTCACTGACTGTTCTATCTCTCTGATGTCATGCGGATGTATTTGCTTGTATTTTTGCACTGTGTTCTGTGAAACTCCTTAACACATTTGAAATGATGGGAATTCCACCAGAAGGCGAATTAAAAATATTAAGGTGATTACAGTGTTCAGTATAAGCCATGACATGAAAAAAAAGAGTAAATGATCAGTTTATAAAATGAAGGATAAACATCATGGCGTCTCGTAGCAGATAGAAACCCTGGCTCACTGAAAAAAATAAATAAAATTTGCTTTTATAAAACACTTGCTTAATTTAACGACACAATAATTGTCTCGCACCCTTTATTATGTTGGTCATTGTACGTATTGTGGCTGTTTGAAAGTAAAAGTATTATTTTACTTGAAGGGGGTGTTCATAAAACTGTCATCAAACCTTTATAATCATGACATGACACAACATGAAAATGTATGTGCCATTTGATTAGTTATGCTTTAGTTATATATTTAAATGCAAAGATAAATACTACATCGTGATTAGTCTTTGTTGTGACAGCTTGACATTGTATACAACATAACTTGTCTTAAACCATGCAGTCATAAACATGATTAATGTCATTAAATATTAATGACACTGGTATAAAACTACACGATTGTCAAATTGCTGTGACAAAAAGTGATCAGAAAAATAGTCATAACACAATTATAATGGACAATCATGTTTATGATAGATTTATGACAGGTGTCATGACGTCTTGGTAATGTCAAGTTGCCATAACAAAAACACTGACAGGTTTTGTTTTCTTGGTGATGTATTCAGAAACTTAATAACAGTTTTCAAAAGCACGCATAAAATCGCATTCATATTCATCTTCCTGCATCATGTCATGCTTATAAAGGTCTGATGAGCACAATCTTTGAGGAAAGTGTTACCACACCACCCATTGTAACTCAAGTTTCACTGGGTTTTTAGAGTTTGGGTACAAAATCTAAGTAGGAGGCACACTTTTCCAGTGAGTCTAGATCGATAAAAACAGTCACAGCAGACAGAGTGAAATTTAATTAAGGTCTAATCAAATCTTGAACATATTTAAAGGTGCTGCATGTAAGTTTTTGGCCCTTCTAAAGCATAAAAATACCTAATACTAACTAAAATACCTAAGTGAACATACTTGTTTATCTGAAAAATGAACGTCAGATATTCTGCTTTGAAAATGAGCGCTACTCGCCAGAACGTTTAGCCAATTAGCCAACTATATTTCAGCACCCCGGATTACCTTGGTGGAAAACAGCGTATTTCATTCATTCAGTCAGGAAGGCTTTCAAAGTATGCGTCTGTGGCTGAAAAGCGACCTCCGGTGGACAGTAGCAGACTCCAAAAAGAGACACAGATTCAGAGTTCCACATGAGGTGGTTAATAATTAGCAAATAATCTAAATATTACAAACGTAAACATTCGGTGAGCAATAATATTAATAATAATTCCTTACATTTATATAGCGCTTTTCTGGGCACTCAAAGCACTTTACACAACTCTGCTCCTTCCACTATGTGAGCAAAACAGCGGCCGTTGAGTGCATGAATTGTCCAGCATTCCACACTTTTTTTTTAACGGTTAAATAAGTGCATCATCCGGGTATTTAAAGTGCACTTAATATTTTTAGAACTTTCAGTGTGAATGCGCTACTTACACTATTTATACTACAAAATGGCATAGAATAGTGGGACGCACCTTGTGCTTCTATAGGAGACTATAGGAGTCTACACTAGAGATGCGTGGATGGGCTATTATTTCATTCGCAACCGCATCACAAAACTCATCCGTCCGCCATCCATCCGCACTAACATTTTTGACCAAATTTTAAAACCGCACCCGCCATCTGCTGACTGAGCTCTTTATTTGAATGGCTCATTCCTTTTTATTATTAAATGAATGTTTCTTTATTGATTATTAGAAAATAGAGAATGACTTTAATTTCATGCAGTTAATCCAAACCTGCAAGTCAAATCCAGCATTAACTGACGCTTTGAAGTGATACAATACGAGGACGTGTCTTTTCACTTGATTCGATTCCTCGGTCCTTGAGTCTTTTCCTTGCGTCCTTCCCTTGCATCCTATAGGAGTGGAAAGACGAGGAAAGAAAGCAAGGAAAGGAAACGAGGATACACAAATAAGAAATGAGAAGCACCCCTATAAAGCTCTCAGAATATCAGCAGTGAACTCCGTCTCCAATTGGCGCACAGGGACAAAAATAAATAAATAGCCTAAATTAAACGCACTGCACTGTACAATTTTTAAATTATTATTGTAGCCTAATAGAAAACGCATTTTGACACATCATTTCAACATTCAGACGAGAGCGCCTGGCCTCTAATGCGCCCTGCTGCACTGAAGGAGCGCTCGCTCGCAGCACTTGTTGCTGGAATGCATAGAATTCTCTAGGCAAGGTGTTGTAGACGTGGGAATGACTGCCTTGTTTCTCCCAAAAGGAAAGTAGATTTTCCTCTGCTGATCCGTCTATACGGAAGTTTGTAGATGAAGACTTCTGTACTTCATCCAGAATTAGTGTATCCGATTCCTCCTCTCATTCTGTGAAGTCAGTCTTAGGCTTTTTCGTTGGTGTGCTAGCTATGTGTACAAAAACAGTACAACCGCCCACCACCCGCCCGAATTTAATTAAAATATTATTTTTCGTCACGTCATTCGCCCGATCCGCGGTTTATCCGCGGATTCCGCGGCTGTAACCGCCATCCGCGCATCTCTAGTCTACACGGCTAAGAGCTACAGTTGAAGTCAGAATTATTAGCCCCCCCGAATTATTAGACCGCTTGTTTATTTTTTTTATTCTTCAATTTCTATTTAACGGAAAGAAGATTCTTTCAACACATTTCTAAACATAATTGTTTTAATAACTCATTTCTAATCACTGATTTATTTTATCTTTGCAATGATGACAGTAATTAAAATTTGACTAGGGGCGACGCAGTGGGTAGCACGTTCGCCTCACAGCAAGAAGGTTGCTGGTTCAATCCTCGGCTCAGTTGGCGTTTCTGTGTGGAGTTTGCATGTTCTCCCTCCGTTCGCGTGGGTTTCCTCCGGGTTCTCCGGTTTCCCCCACAGTCCAAAGACATGCGGTACAGGTGAATTGGGTAGGCTAAATTGTCCGCAGTGTATGAGTGTGTATGTGAATGTGTGTGTGGATGTTTCCCAGAGATGGGTTGCGGCTGGAAAGGCATCCGCTACGTAAAAACTTGCTGGATAAGTTGCCGGTTCATTCCGCTGTGGCGACCCTGGATTAATAAAGGGACTAAGCCGACAAGAAAATAAATGAATGAATGAATATTTGACTAGATATTTTTCAAGACACTTCTATATAGCTTAAAGTGACATTTAAAGGTTTAACTAGGTTAATTAGGTTAACTAGGCAGATTAGGTTAATTAGGCAAGTTATTGTATAATAATTTGTTCTGTTGATAGTCGATAAAAAATATTGCTTACAGGGGCTAATAATTTTGTCCCTAAAATGGTTTAAAAAATTTTAAACTGCTTTTATTCTAGCCAAAATAAAACAAATAAGACTTAATCTAGAAGAATAAAGGGGAGGCTAGGCGTTTTCCTTTTTTTTTTGTAGTAGTATTTGCAAAGTAAAGCCGAATCACCTCACTATCAAAGAAAGAAAAAAGGCACAAAGAGCCGACGCTCAATAGGTAGATGGCGGGTCTGGAGAAGGTTCGAGTGGCACTGGCAGAACATGTCCACCGGGGGCCTTATGGGGACATTCTCGATGTCTACAGCCACGTACAAGCTAAAGTACTGCCTACCAGTCACACAGGAGCGGGTCGACCTCCCCCACACCCCCCCATTTTCTCTGACCTGTCATCGAGGTTTCGGCAAGGGCAAAACTTCGTGGACTTTGGTTACGAGAGCTTCTTCAGAAGTCTTCAGAGGAGACCTTAGAGGAGAACAAAGAGAGCACCGTTCTCTTCTGAAGGGCCCCTCACCTCAGCAGGACTGACTGCCAGGGGGTGACTTTGATAGTAAGAGCGGCCAGAGTTCTGCAACCTGGCCATTGGGAAGTTATGATCCCCCTGGGTCAGGCCCCTCACCCGGTCTGTCCGGACCAATCTAGGCAGAGTGGTTCCTCCCCGATTTAGACCTCAGACACACAGCCAACCTCTGCACTCGCCTGCCCGTTCCTAGGTCAGTACATACCTGGATGGGAGACCACATGGGAAAGCTAGGTTGCTGCTGAAATTGGTGTTAGTAAGACCAACTGGGGGCTGTCAACCAGCAGTCTGTGTTGAGTCCTAACGCCCCAGTATATTGATGGGGACTCATCTTTCGGATGAGATGTTAAAAATCCCAAGATGTCCTTTAAAAAAAGAGTTGGGGTTTAACCCCACCATCTTGACCAAATTTGCCTTCTTGCCTGTGTCCATCATGGCCTCCTAACCATCTCCATTGGTCTCCTCTCCACCAATCAGCTGGTGTGTGGTGTGCGGTCTGGCACAATATGGCTGGATGAGGAGATCTCAATACCCCCCTAATGTGTAAAGCACTTTGATTGTCTAGAAAAAGATATGTAAGGAATTATTATGATCATTATTGTTTGTCTGTTCCAAAAATGAGTTGACAGTTTCAGTTGTTATGAAATAAGGCTTTTCTTTTTTCAACTGACAATTTATTCATGAACACAATTGAGTTGAGGAAAAATTCGCCTTTGCTTTTGTATGTAAACATTTAAATAATTTACAGTTTTTCTCAGTCGCTTTGGTGCATTTCTCACAACACCAGTGCATTTCTGCAAAACAGTTAATGTATTTCTCAAAACACTTAGTACAAACTGCCAAATCTATTTGATAACCTGCAAAAGCGCATCAATTACTCAAAATGGATAGCTCATTCCTCAAAAGCAAGTATTGATGTCAATCAAAGTGCCAGTGTCATCAAGATGAAAAGTCCGGACACCATTGTTTATGAACAAGATAGTCAAACGGCTTTGTCATGTTTTCATTATGACACTTTACTCTGTAATTTTTTCAATGCTAAAAAGTCAGATGTTGGTGACACATCCTGAAAATTCTCAAGACAGCACTTTATACTATTTGCAGTCATTTGAAAACTACAGTAAAGTTGGACATCACTGTATTTAGTGAGGTATCTGAGTACAAGACACTGAATATGTATGTTTCACATTTTTACTCTGTATTTGCTCTTTACAATCCTAATTTATTCACAGCGTTGTGCAAAAGAATAAACACCCATATTTACAACAATCATAAACTCCCTTTGGGTTGAACTGTGCACAACTGTAAACAATATTGCAGTATGTATTGGACATGAACCTGCAACATACACAGGTCTGTAAATCATTCATCAAATTATTCAATTTTAAAGACATTTTCAGGAAAATGAAGATTTTTTAAAAAAATTTATAAAGTTTTCTTGAATAATTTTGACATCAAGTTCAACATTTTTGTATGTAATGACTCAAGTAATGAAATGAGGACTGTTAGTTTTATATGGAATGACTATTCAGCATTAACAAGTTTAGTTAATTTTGACTGACATGACATAAACAGCAGAGAGTTGTATGAAAACAATTGATGCTTGTCCAAAAGCATTTGCAATTTGTTGAAAGGAATGAGAAACTGCTACTAGGATGTGCACAAATGACTAATTGTTTTGAGAAATGCATGAACTGTTGTGCAAATGTAAACAGTGGAGTGAGAAATGCACCAAAGCGACAGAGAAAAACTGTAACATTATACATTATATGATGAAATGATCCTAAAGGTCAGTTTTGGTATCTTAAACTTTGTGTGAAGATGCTCCACCACTTCATCAGGTATGCAGCCTTCTCATTGGACACATTTGACAATTCTCATACTGATGAGGTAGCAGAGGCTGGAGTGAGGAGAATCGCACAATGCCCGGTTGACACAAAGGGATTTGACTTCAGCTTGCATTCTGGACCACAGAAGCCAGCTCACACAGACTTTTCCTTTAGGGGATGAGGCAGGTTTAGCCACACACATCTGTGGCATTCATCACTGTTTGGCTAGACTCAGCGAAAGCAAGGTGGTCACAGAGTTTAGGCATGGATATCTGCACCAAGGATGCTTGGATTTGGATGGGGGAAGAAGAGACAGAGTGGTACTGAGAATGTCAGCAATTATAGTTAATTTCACGTCCGCTCAGCTCTAAAAGTTATGTAAAATATCACCCTGACTTTTTACTTTTCAATTCCTTAACTATTATGATGTTTACCCTAATCCTACAGCAAATTAATGTTGTTAGTTTATATGGCTTATTACATGTACAGTTACACTGTAACATTGACAGCTTATTATAAAAAACATACTGGTATAAGAAGGTAATTTCTGTTATGTCCTAAACGGATGTTTTCTGTCTATTAAAGATGCCATTTTGTGGAATTCCCTGTCTTAACTGTCATTAATGTTGGGCAAATGGCTGTTGGTTTGCAGTGATTTCTGCAACATATTTGTGTTCTAAATTGGTTTGCTCAAATGGATATATATATAAGAATTGACAAAATCTGTTTATTTGTATTGGAAATAAGTCAAACAGAGGTAGATCAACTAAATCTTAAGTATCCCATAGCCTTTAGCCCATGGGTTTCTCGATATCCTGTAACCCTCTTATCAGCCTCGGCTTGCAGTGCAGTGATTTTACTTTCCCTAAATGCAACTTGTTAAAAAGCATGAACTCACCTTGCAGTGTAAATTTAAAAAATGAAAATCTGTTTCTGCTTTTAAAGAGATTTACAAAATTAAACTAATAATATTATTATTAGTTGTGACATTATGGTATAATGTCCATAATGTGTGTATTGGCTATTCTATTTTTCCTCTATTGTTATCATTTTATACTCTGTTTATTGTTATGCGAATGTAAACATCCGTTTGATATAAATTTGAGAATCAAAACCAAAATGCGATTTTCAACATAGTAGTATTCATGCGTCAGTAAGCTGACTCGAGACATTTGCAACATTTATGTATTGTTTAGCCCCTATTTTAAAACATCACTTTGATGTAAGTTATGAAAATTTGAGGAAGAAATTATAATAACTTATTAAATAAGCAATAAAAAATAAAAGAGGGCTGTCATGTTGAGCAGCCTAACCCTTCGAATGTTATCACTTGATTGAATGGGTGTTATCAGTGGTTATTAGCTGATAGATATGGGCTATTGGTAAGCTCAGAAGGCTGTTATCATCCATCCACATGGTTAATCTATAGATTACATACGGCTGTGGCCGGAAGTTAACGAAAAGTATTTAAATTATTTATTAAATTTCCCGTTAATTGTGCTTTATTAACGTCTACCCCAACCCTAAACCCAACTGTCACAGTAATGTCAAAACAGATATAGATCTAGAGTCTTCTTTATTAGTATAGCTGATTAACCACAAGAATTGTGTATAATGTTTATTAAATTTCGCATTAAATGTATTTAACGTCTACCCCTAACCCAATCCTAAACTCAACCGTCACAGTAATGTCAAAACAGATCTGGATCTAGAGTCTTTGCTATTAGTCACAGTAATGTCGGAACAAATCTAGAGTCTCCTCTATTAGTATAGCCAATTGACCACAATAATTTTGTATATCGTTTATTAAATTTTCTATTAATTGTATTTATTAACGTCTGCCCCTACGCCAATCCTAAACTTAACCGTCACAGTAATGTCAAAACAGATCTGGATCTAGAGTCTTTGCTATTAGTATAGCTGATTAACCACAAGAATAATCTATATTGTTTATTAAATTTCCCATTAATTGTATTTATTAACGTCTACCCCTACCCCAATCCTAAACTCAACCGTCACAGTAATGTCAGAACAAATCTAGAGTCTCCTCTATTAGTATAGCCAGTTAACCACAATAAGTATGTATATCGTTTATTAAATTTCCCATTAATTGTATTTATTAACGTCTACCCCTACCCCAATCCTAAACTCAACCGTCACAGTAATGTCAGAACAAATCTAGAGTCTCCTCTATTAGTATAGCCAGTTAACCACAATAAGTATGTATATCGTTTATTAAATTTCCTATTAATTGTATTTATTAACGTCTACCCCTACGCCAATCCTAAACTCAACTGTCACAGTAATGTCAAAACAGATCTGGATCTAGTCTTCTCTGTTAGTATAGCTGATTAACCACAAGAATAATCTATATTGTTTATTAAATTTTCCATTAATTGTATTTAGTAACGTCTACCCCTACCCCAACCCTAAACTCAACCGTCACAGTAATGTCAGAACAAATCTAGAGTCTCCTCTATTAGTATAGCCAGTTAACCACAATAAGTATGTATATCGTTTATTAAATTTCCTATTAATTGTATTTATTAACGTCTACCCCTACGCCAATCCTAAACTCAACCGTCACAGTAATGTCAAAACAGATCTGGATCTAGAGTCTTCTCTATTAGTATAGCTGATTAACCACAATAATTATCTATATTGTTTATTAAATTTCCTATTAATTGTATTTATTAACGTCTACCCCTACCCCAACCCTAAACTCAACCGTCACAGTAATGTCAAAACAGATCTGGATCTAGGGTCTTTGCTATTAGTATAGCCGTTTAACTACAATAATTATGTATATTGTTTATTAAATTTTCCATTAACTGTATTTATTAACGTCTACCCCTACCCCAATCCTAAACTCAACCGTCACAGTAATGTCAAAACAGATCTGGATCTAGTCTTCGCTATTAGTATAGCTGATAACCCACAAGAATTATGTATATCGTTTCTTAAATTTCCCGTCAAGCGTACTTTATTAACGTCTACCCCTACCCTAATCCTAAACTCAACCGTCACAGTAATGTCAAAACAGATCTGGATCTAGAGTCTTCGCTATTAGTATAGCTGATTAACCACAAAAATTGTGTATATAGTTTATTTAATTTCCCGTTAATTGTACTTTATTAACGTCTACCCCTACCCCAACCCTAAACTCAACCATTACAGTATTGTCAAACCAGATCTGGGTCTGGGTCTTCTTTATTAGTATAACTGATTAACCATGTGGATGGATGATAACCGCCTTTTGAGCCTACTAGTAAGCACAGAAAGCCCCTATTAGCTCATATCTATCACCGAAAATGCCCATTCAATCACGTGATAACATTCAAATCTGGTGATGTGAGCATAAAGTGATCCAAATATGTCTCAGCATATCTTTAAATAATATAATATAATATAATATAATATAATATAATATAATATAATATAATATAATATAATAAATATGATAATTATATATATATATATATATATATATATATATATATATATATATATATATATATATATATATAAATATAAATAAATATATTATTTAATATAAAATATAAAAATATATAAATATATATATATATATATATATATATATATATATATATATATATATATATAT